TATTATATTGTGTGCTGATGGTGGGTCCAGGGGAAGCTTGCCTAAATTATCCAGTGTGCTAGGTCTGGATCAGCTTGTTATTTATTATTATTAATACTAACAGTAATAATGTATTTATTTATTAGGTGCCTTTCAAAACACCCAAGTTCACCTGACAGAGCATAAAAATAAAACCAAATGCCAACAAATAAAACACAGACAGCACAAGAGACATGAATTGGACAGACATTTATAAGAGCTGGGATAAAACAGTAATACCACTACTATCTACTACTACTACTAATAATAATATATTTCTTGGGGTGGGGGCCACCAGGAAAAGCTTGCCCAGGGTGCTAAATGTCTTAGGTCCAGCACTGACTACAGCCAAGGTGTAAAAAGGTCATTTAGTCATTTCAACCTGTGTTTTACTGCATCATAGAAAGGATTTAAACACAGATAAATATTATTTTTAATCTCTAAAAGTGTGTTCTGGAGGGGGCAGCACTGTGTGTACCTGTTTACGCTCTCCCTCCAAATGTGAGTCATCATTAACACCCCTGATTATACCGCCAGCACCGGAGCTGAGAACAAATGGCCTCTAATTGAGCTTGAAGGGAAGGAGGGGTGGATGTGTGTGTCATACTGCGTCACGTCTTTGATCACACTGTAAGTAAGCTGAGTTCTGAGGCAGTTGAGAGGCAGTGTGGTGTTTTTAAAAAATCGCTGTACTTACACGGAAAATCTATATTTCCTTTGTGGTTTATTGCTCTTACTGTTCTCTAAATCGAATTTCCTCTCCTACAACGTCTTCTTCTACTCGCTCTAATGTGCTCATTGTTTGTTACATTACAAATAAATGGAGAGTGTATGCCTGTACCTCTTATGTGATTCCTTTTTTATAGTGGTGCAATATATCATCATTTTTGCTCTGGTCTTGAGCGCTATGTTCCTCACTATTGAAAATACTGATGACAGGAGTTTTACTGTAGCTGTTCCTGGTCTGCAGTCAAGTATTCAAATGCTTAAGTGATTCAAAAGCAAAAGAACAGAAGTTCTCTTGATTAAATGTCCTTAAAGTATCAAATGTAAAAGTACAATATTTTAATATTTCATGCTTCGTCCGTCTTTAATCAATCATGGTAAGACCTGGAGGACACATCAACTCAACAAGGTTTTCCTCTTTACTGGAATCCCACACATTTCTTTTAGCGTGTTTTGCCTCCATAGCGAGCTGCTATCCGTCTGTTTGTTTGGCTTTAGTGTGTCAGTTCATGCTGCATTTCTATTGGTTAGTTAGTACATGTAGGTTGTAACAGCGGTGACACAGTAATGGCATATTTATACTTGTGCATCAGCTCTATGATGTAGCCTACGCCGTTGTGAGCATTTCCACTTGTGCGGTGGTGTGTCCGTGTCACTCTGCAGTTACACCTCCAAAACACTAGTTGGCGGGTCTCTGTGAGGTGCTGTAAAGTTAAGTTGATTCAAAACACACATTAAACACACATTAGACGTGGCTTAATAGAGACAATGTCAAACACAAGTACACAAATCAGCTTCACTATAACTCGCAGCATTCACAGACAAACACTTGTCTTCATCTGGATACATTTTCCCCACAAACACAACATGCTAACATTATTAGCACAAGCCTATGGCATTTTACATTGTATAAATGAGCCTAGCAGGTAGCGCACTTTTCCTCTTCTCATATGAAGCCAGGGACAACAGCAACATTTAACAAAGGTAACGTTACAAAATTTGGCTCCATTACAACTCACAAGGTTCACTGACAAAACAACTGTCTTATACTAAACATGTTTTCCAAACAAATGCAACATGCTAACGTTATTAGCACAAGCCTATGGCATTTTACATTGTATTAATTAGCCTAGCAGTTAGCATACTTTTCCTATACTCATATGAAGCCAGGGACAACAGCAACATTTAACAAAGGTAACGTTACAAAATTTGGCTCCATTACAACTCACAAGGTTCACTGACAAAACAACTGTCTTATACTAAACATGTTTTCCAAACAAATGCAACATGCTAATGTTATTAGCACAAGCCTATGGCATTTTACATTGTAGAAATTAGCCTAGCAGCTAGCGGACTTTTCCTCTGGGTCCTGGTCTAAAAATGGGTCCCGGGTCCGTTCTGACTGGACCGCAAGTTACTTGTGACCGTGTCAAGTTTGTTAAAAACACGCTGTACAAAAGTATGAGGCAGAATACATTGAAATGTGTGGACCTTAAACAAATGACTGAGGAGAAATCACTGTCCACCACTGCCAGTCAGGTAAAAATGCTCAGATTGTTGATTAAGTTTCACTTTGGAAACAAGTTATCTGGATAAAAAACAACAAATACAGATTTAATCTTAACACATCCATCTATCCAACAGCACTTTGTTATTGTCCCACTGTAGAGAAGCTCAGAGTGAAACCCTGCCTACAGGCGAGAGCAGCAGCAGTGCCACAGTGGTCTCGTCTCTCAGCTACAGAGCTGTGAAACATTGTGGACATTCCAGCAGCGGCTTGTATTTCACCAACCGCCACGGCTGCGTACGACACTCCAAATGTCACTGATGTCGTTTCTCTGTGACCACACTCTGGCAGTGATTCATGAATGCTCACTCACTGAGTCTGGAGTGTCAACACACAAACACATACATCTAGATGAGTTTATATCACGGCTGTCGAGGTCGAGCATGGGACCAGAGGAACATATGCAGAAGGAAATTTTTTTCATCTGATTTTCATTTTCTATTCATTTGAATCTGGATTTTTAGTGAATAAATATTATTAATAAATTAACTTTGGAATAGCATGACTCAGATAGCAGCACAGTCATTCCTGTAGTACTCACTGACACCACAAGGGAGAGGTGTTTCTCGTATTTCCCACATTAACACTTGTCATTTTAATCTTCTGTCTTTGAATGTTAATGTAATCAATATAAACGGGCAGGTTTAAACTCCAGGGAACTAGCTATAGTCTGTAAATTATAATCCCCACAGTATGACTCTTGACTCTTGAAGGCAATATGCATTTCCCTCCTATTTGAGCTGAATACTGATCTTATTATGAATGTTTAACCGGAGTCTTTGGAGGATTGAATCTGCCCTCTGGCAAAATGTGTGATGTTGTACATCTGTCTGAGCAAGAAACTGTAAAGATGGAAGAGACGATGATACATCTGAAGTGTTGGCAGCGCCGGAGCATACATTATGTTTCAAGTCTTTTTGATTTGTTCAGCTGATATGTTGATGGTGTTACAGCGCTGAGTGTTGATTCTTTGGCTTAAGGAGCATTTAATCAGCGTAACAACCGGAGTACAGATCAGAATTCATTTTGCTCCTTAGCGTCCTGTGTGCATTTAGCCAACGGGGCTGGAGCGCAGGAAGGTGCTGTTGGAGGGT